CGAGAGCAATTTTTTCTCACAATTTCAGTACTTTCGGGGTTCGGAGATATTCAATGACCGGGTGTGTAACAAACGCCAGAAATTTTTCAGTTCGACGAATAGGAATTCACCATCGAATGCCTCGCCGTGCGCGACACGACAGAAAGGATGCTGATTGGTGTGCTAGTGCAGTAGAAATGGGTTTGATGGACTAGTGCTGGGCTACGCGTAGTGATCGTCGCTATGGCACAGTTGCGTCGATGAAACGACGCTCTCCGACCATTTCTCTTTATGCGACTGGGTAAAGTCTATGGAAAAGAAGCTAGAGGGTACTCTAGACACATTTTTTTAATACATACAACACGAAAAAAAATTATTATTGCTTGTTTTAACGTCTTACAAAAACGTAGTTTCAACTAAAAATATTGTAGGGATTTTAAATTTCTATCAAAAATTAGGAAATCAGAAAACATTTATTTCTCCAATGGTGTAGCATAGATAAATTATTCGTCAGTAGTAGGTATATTGAACAGGGCACAGTGATACCTTATTGTATAATATTATTATTACACAAATTACTGCCAAGCGTAGTCGACCTTTTTAGAAATATAGTCTCCTTGCTTTTAAGCTAGAAAGTTCGTTAAGAATTTGATTACTCTCTACTTTACCAGTTTTTACAGAAAGCTACACTCAGATATGATAATCATGTTTTCGTTATTGATTCTTAAAATTTCTCCTATATTTTTATTTTTCACTGAAGCGTCATTTGCTTTCGACTAAATGTAACTTTAACTACAACACTCATAAATTTATAAATCACCAGTCTTCGGTACAAATTTTTCTACGACGTATCGACAAATAGAAATTCGGCCCTGTAAATTCCTCCTCCATTATTCACGCATAACCAACTTTTTTTTTTTTAATACAATGGAAATGATTTGCATGAAATATGTAATACTTCCAAACCATCCTTAATTCGACACGTTTATTTATCGCAGCATAAGCAATTCATATGATCCTTGTCGAAACAAATGCCGCCATCGACGCGCAAATGGACTTATTGCTCAACCTAATAATTCGCCTAAAATCTATTTACCCCGAATGAATGGACGCCGCAAGCCAAAGCGTGCAAAGGTATGTTCATATTAAATCTGCGGAAACGTAATCGTTTCGTATGGTAATTCCTCCATAATTGGTGTTGGAAATTTAGGTTTCACGGGACCATCGATGAATTCATACAACCGCTTTCAAAACGTGTATCACGCTAATCGCTTGTTTTCCCTCCGCATGATTGGACACGCGATACCGAGAAGGAAAAATATTCGACGGATATTTCGATTCGTTATTACGCGAATGAAACTCGATCACAGCGGTTGCCTGTGGCCGTGTATTACCGGAGCACGTATTTTCCCGGATGAGCCAATGCGCATACGATTGGCAAACAACGTTGATCCTTCTATTATTCGACCAGTGAATGCCTAATGACGATTAACGGAATGTTTAGAGCATTAATCCCGGGCATTAATATTTTCCCCACTGTGCCGCCATCCGCGCCCTTCGCGCAGCTGGAAACTTGGGAACGTGGACGCATTAATGTCGCCCAAATGCGATTAGAATCAGTATTTTCGACCACAGGCTATCGGTTCCTGATGAGAAAATTAATTGCAGTCGATTTTAGCGGAAACTGCCGCCGAATGATCACGCCTTTCTAATCTTCATTATATCAATAGTGTCTGAAATTCAGTTCCGCCATAATCTGGTTTATCGAAGATTTGTAGGGTGGTTTTTTTCGATTTTAGAACTATTTTAGAATTAAATTTAATTTGAGAAATATTTGAAAATAATTATTTTGTTTAATTATTTATGCATGAGTAAGGGATTTTCAGAAGAGACTTTAGGATTTTGTTCCTTAATCGAATACGAGCGATATGGAACACGAGAAATGCATTTCAAGAAGATTATAGTAATATTGTGACAGATTTAAACAAAATTAAAAAATGTTAAAGTTGTCAGAATTTTCAGATTTTTAATATATTTTAATTCTTGAAGTAAGAATTATTATAAATTGTAAATTCGAAACTTGTGACTACCCCTCATTGTATAAAACATTAAGTACATATATTTATGTACTCTTCGTAATGTTACATTCTCTAATAAGAGTACATGAAAACATCAAAACTATCCTTCTTATTGTTTAGGTAAAATTTTGAATTTATTTAAAAATTTTCTAGCGTTATCACATTCTTCATTGGGAACTTTTTAGAACTCCATAAACGAGCAACTTACTCTTCAAATTATGCATTTCTAATTTCGATTAAATTTCGAAAATTAAAGTAAGTTGTTCTATATATTGCTAATCAAATTTAGGAAGCTATTCCTCGCTTGCGTAACTTTTGCAATATAATGTATATGCCTCGACGCATCGAATATCAGTTTTCATAGTAACACAGAGGTGATACAAATTTTACGAATAACATACATTCAAAGACATAAATTTCAGAGCTGGTGGAAATCGATGAAATGGCACTTCGTTGGTTAAACTTGCGCCATTAATTACTTGCCATGACGTCGTAGAGAAGGAAATAACAATCGTCTATGAAATACTCACGCCTGTTTTAGATCGGCATCTCTCATAAGGAGTGTATTCCCTACTTAACAATGGCTCCACGTTCGGTATTAGAATACCAAGAATTTCTCATTATACATAGTATCGCGTTTATGCCTATTCCTTTTTCGAAACATAACACGACCAAAATTTTAACTATAACTGTTTATTCTAATTCTTTTTTCAGCACTTAAGATTCGAAATACTAATTATAATTCAAATACTTTCAATTCACTTGACACATCCATGAGCCTCCATACGTTTCAATTTTGATACTATTATTTTCTATAAAAATGCGACTTCTCTAGTTTTCAAATGAATTATTACTTTATTACGCATAAAATGTCCTCTTCCTAAACTGCTTATCAAGTTGAAACTCTGTATGATATCGTTCCAGCAACTAAATTTAGGAAATGGATCAATCGTTTACGTTAAAATAATTTCGAGGCTTGATTACACGAGAAGTGGGCCGTAAATCCTCATTATCGAAACGTGGTGTTAATAACTAATAAACTCCTGTACTCCGTTACTCGATAAAACCAAAGAATAACTAAACTGTGCGTTATATTTTCCCCAGTGACTTACATATAGGTGAATCGCGAGCGAAGAGTTAATGTTTGATCGGGCGAAATGCCGGAAAAGTATATCGTCATTTGATCTTCCGGCGGATATGCGAAAAGAGGTCCAAAGTAGGATTAATAGCAGGGTAAATTCGTGTTCGTTGATAAGTGAAACGGGCACGAATTGAAAAAGTTTTCCGCCGGAATGGCAGCGGGCATTTGCGAAGGGTTCGCGTGCAGAGTCACGATAAATCGTACGAAAGACATTGATAGCGAATAGCTAGCCTTGGATATTGCGCATTTACACAACGAATACGTACGGGGTGGGTCAGGAACAAAGAGATATCAATTTTAACACGTTGACCGCCTCGTCACTCATACATATATAGGTGACGGCGATTTTAATTAAAAGAAGAAATCGAATTAATCGTGAAGATGACGTGTTAAAGAAAATAAATTTCAATAGGATTCCAACATTTTAATGGCAGGCCATTTGACTAAAGAATGAAACAAATTAACACTGACAGAAAATATTTTGAATGGTATTTGTAAAATTTCATGACATGGGATTTTCACTAAAATTTTGAAGGTGAAGTGTCAGAGAAAATGAATTTGAATAGGGTAATTGGAAATGAATTTGAATAGGGTTTGAGTAGAGTATGTAATATTTGCTATGTACAAATTAATTTCAGTTGACAAACGGTTAAACACTAACAGTGTATCGTAATTTAAATTGTTATCATACTAAACATTCCCGAACTTCTTAAAGTGTACAAATATTACATATTTGTATAATAGTATATTTGAATATGTTTAAATATTATATTTACCTATTTGATATAACTCGTTTGCATACCCTGATCTATTTTAAATGACAAGCGTTTCCTGTCTATTGATAATAATTAACGTATTGACATCTTCTAAATTTTGCTGGCACAGGATTAATATCGCACACGTATTGCAATATCCACGTTCAATATCAAAATTGCGCGAAGAGTAGGATTAATGTAGATTAGCTTCAACGGTATCATTGGTTCTCTATAATGTAATCTCGCGCTGATAAATTGTCATGAACAAGTGAGAAGGAATATCAGGAATATCATAAATATTATAATCACAATTTCATATTGCAATACTAATTATTTGGAATCAAGTTATACGAAAATCTTAGTTTTACATATTAATACTTCAAAGTAATAATAATGTTTGTAATAAAAGAGTGAAAGGCTGCAAAACGTATTGATTCGTGCGGAATGCCTGCTTTAGATATACTTTCATGCCAGAAAAGACTCACTAAATTCCTCTGTAATTACTAAAAATCGAAAAATAAAATAGGTTCTTTTAATGCAACAGTAAATGGTTTTCCAAAAGTGACTTTAATAAAGAGTTATTTAATAAAACATTTACAATATAAAATATACTCTCACTTTAAATGAAAATACAATTTACCCTTTATTAAACCCTTATTAAATAACCAAGACACACAAAGTGCCTATATTTTTTCTTACCAAGGCAAAGAATTCAGGCTCGAAGGGACTTAACCCGTTCACTGCCAGACAAAGCGTTTTGTCTTGGGCGCCAAGATTGAATACAGATGTGTAATCTAGATTATTATTTTGACAATAAAAAACGATGTTAAATTTGCCGTTTTAAAAAGAATATTTACGATCTTATTTTGCAATAATTAGTGACTCGAAAAGCTATAAACTTATACTTGCAATTAATTGCAATTAATTTGAACTACGAGACATCTCGTACTTGTCAGTGAATAGGTTAAACGATAAATATTCAACACCTGATGATACATAATAGATTATTGTCCGGGAACGATCATATTTTTATGCGGAACCACTCACCAGTGAAGAAGTGATACGGCAAAGAAAACACTCGTGCACCGACCGGACTGAGGAGCGGCTGCTGTCGTCGATCCTATTCTCCAGTCCTTCTCGAAGGGTTTTCTGCAATAGCAAGGAAACAGAAATCTTGATACGAGAACGATATATAACCATGCAATAATATACTCGATCGTGGTTTCCTGCTCGCAAAAGGAGGAAGTAAAACTCCGGTATGCGACGAGGTGGTCGTAGACGTCGTCGTCGTCGTAGTACGGCGACGCTACCTTAGTTTTATCGTGCACCCGCGCTTATATCGCGGTAATATCTTGCCCGGTAAATGAAAAAGTTATTGTTTTCCATTCTACTTCCCCCCTCGGCCATCCCTCGCCTGTCCGAAGTTCTTAACCGTGGAACAGACGAAAATCTTGTGAACCTTCGGGAGGAAGCTTCCTCCTCCGTGAAAACATTCTTTCATCCGAGAAATACGTATTACAAGCAAGACAGCCGTTTTAGAGACGTAATATCCTGTATTACATACGTACCCAACCGGAAACGCCCAAGGAAATCCTCTTTTTAAGCAACGAGCACACCGATTCTTGCGAAAAGCCCGTCTGGACGATCTACTACCGTCGCGAATCGAATAATTTGAAATCGATTAGGCAGGATTTAAGGTGGGAATGTGTAAACAATTTGATAAGAAACAGGACGTTAGTGTCTTTTTATAATTCTATATTTACTTTGATTAAATCTTTAATCTAAAGTTAAATTTATCAAATTTTATGTTCATGTACTGCCAGTCCCATAAATATTCGCACCCTCATAGATTTGAAGTTGCTAAATAAATGTTTCCATTATATATTACATAGGAATGTATTTACGATAGAAGATTTATTTGAAAACGTCAAATCTACTATTTAATTTAGAAGAATTTTTTCAAGGGACAGAGATTACGAATACATATGTATACCAATATTTATTTATCGACAGCTGTGCACGGATTTTGTTTTAAACCTTTTAAAAATCGTAAGAAGCAAGGAAATTAACCTGCCAATAAATTCGATTTTAGCTATCCACTATATACGACTATGATTACCAATCATATTTTAAAAGTACCCTTTCGGAGAAGTGGTTGCAAATTATTTCGACAGCAACGAATATCAATCTTCCCAAAGGATGATTAATTCACATCACCTAGCGACACATCGGTTAAAGGGCAATTTACATCGGCGACTGGACGACTCCTCTTCGCCATAAATTGTAACAAGCAAACGCTCATAAATTACCGAATTAAATATAAGAGTGTCGCGAGACACCGCGGAATTATTTCCGCTTAAAGGCGGAAGGCAACCGCTGTACCATTGTTTCGTTCGATTTGGGTGTCTTTATCGTAGCCCGCAGTCAGTGTGGCGAGGGCTTGACAGCCCTGAACCCCTATGATTGATATCTATCTCCTCCTCCTCCGCCTACACCGCGTCTTCATCCCTGCACAGCAGCCCTCCTTTTGAGTAAACTACTATGCTGCATATCCCCTTTTCGATTATATCGTCCCCGTCGGTCCCTCCTCCTACATACACGGCCCAGGTTCCACGCTCGTCCGTGGTAGTCCGGGTCGATACGGCTATTATGAAAATTGAAAATAAAGGCACTTTTGCACCCACGCGTAGACAGACTCGATCGGCCGCCTTCTCTTCCGCTCCCAGCTACCGGGAAAAGAGACTTTGTTAATTATTTCTTCCAGTTACCGATCGCGTGTACTATCCCGGAAGGTCTCCTCCGTCGGACGGAAATATTCTTTTCGCGAACGCGATAGGAGATTGGCTACCAGAATTGTAATTTCCTTTGTCGTGCGCCCGTCTCGGATGTTATTACCTTTGTTTCTCTTTAATTCGAAACTCGAGGCGGGGGAGTATGATATTAAATATCATACTCTTTAAAGAGCTGGAACCATGACTTCGTCGCTAGAGTCCCGCTGTTCTATTATACTGCGAGGAGCCTGTTCGACTCTTTGAGAAAATTTGGTTTGGTTAAACGCTGCTGACTTCAGGAAAGTGTGAAGATCGTCCACGAGTCAATCGTGAAATGCTAGGTATGATTCGCTTGAATCTTTGATGATGTATTATGGCGTGAACGTGTTCGATTTATTTAATTATTTATTTGGTTGTATAGTAAGAATAAAATAAAATGGGAATTATAAAGGGTTAGTAAAGAGGTCTTCACTTTGTTTTTTGAATAAAACGCGTGACTTGAGAAATATTCGATTGTTTTATTTTAATTGAAAGTAATAGTGATTGAAATTTAAAATGGAAGGTGAAGTTTAAAAGCCCTTTCGGACACCTTTTCAGAGTGAGACAAGCATAACATGGAGAATCAAATCGAGAAGCAATCTCTGCGCAATATTATTATTTATTTATCCCTGCAAGTTTATCGTTAACTACATTTTTCAATGGCGTGGCATTGCTCTAAATTCACTGTTGAATCAATCCATAGCCTAAATTAACGTTGCACCTTCGAATGGCGAACAATTGAAGACGTGGTGGTTATGCGAACGTTACCTAATAAAATATCCGTGTTCGTCGCGCGAAACAACCAATAAAACGCAACGATAATGATGGGAGATACGAGCTAGACTCGATAGAATCTTTCTAAGGTTTCCGGCCTGCAATAACCCACCCTCAGGCCACACACGAGCGCAGATAAATAGATGCATTCAGTTGTAAACGTAGTCAGCGAACGATTCGTGCAAACGGCGAGTCGAATCATACATATTGGACAATATTGGAAACTGTATTGGGAGACGAGTTAACATGCATGTGTGCTTTCTCCGTCACCGCGATACAACTCGGGTTTATTCGTTGATGTATGCGCGTGTGCACGTGTATAGACGCATGACAGTGTTCAATTCAGCTACTTGGCCGCGATTCCCGTATGTGCTCGCGATATCGGACACGAGAAGAACTCGAACGGTCAAAACGGACATGGATGAATAGGATAAATTTTCTTTGAGAAACGAATCGATAACGATAGGATGAGAAGCGTCAGGTCGATGATCGCATATCAAATAAGCCATGTCAAATTTATTTGACGCTGGATAAATTTGTATTTTAATATCGTGTTGTAAAATGTATGTGTGGAGTCATTTTTCGTGTTCTAAAGTAAAGGTTCTTTGGTTGGGATTTATTGTCAGGTTCGATGGAAACATTTATCGTAACGTATTGATATTTAAATCATTGTTAGACAATTATTAGAATTGAAATAAAATTGCATAGACGCATCAAAAGAAATATTTTCCTTAAACAATATTATTTCATCTTTTCATCTTTGCACACAGAAAATTGATATCTGGATTTGCCAGCGTTTACCAACACACACAATTCTAACACATCTGACAATCACTATAACTTATATAAAATGAATAACTTGTATGACTCGTATAATTTGTATAAATTGTTCAATTCTTATGACTTGTACAATTAGTATAAAAAGGAAATCTCGTTCCTCGTTAAATGATACGTCTGTGAGTGACAACAACGTTTCTACGACAAAGAAAGAGTGGAGAAAACGAGTAAAACGAATTGAAGAACGAATTTTCAAATGGTTAACATTCAACGACAACTACGCCTGTCCATTACGCGACGCTTACCCCTCGGTCCAATGACAGGTTTAATTATCACCCTTAGTCGTGGACACGTGAATTTCTCAACATTCCGCCAGGTATTGATTTTGAACGGCGTTCAGAGCTTTCACTTACGTACGCTGTTCCATTCAGTTCATACTATGCGAGACGGAGCCTAAAGGGTATAGAACCCGGTCTATGAATTTGTATAGTTAAGAAACAAAAAACGTATTAGTGATGCCCGAGATGCATCGTGTTAGTGTTAAATTCGGTTAGGTTGAAATATGGTTTTATTTGACAATTAAATTTCTTTCGCCTAAAAGAAATTTAAACGGAAAATATAGTTCATTAAATTAGGCAAGTATAGGTATGTACGCAAGTTTCAAAATTCCTGCTCGTCAGCCATGGCCATCCCCTACCGCCATGTTAGTCATTTCAAAAGAATTGACTCTGGAGTATCAACAAATAGGAATTGGAATTTTGAAAATGCATTTAATTCACGTACGAGCGACGACGACTCCGCGCGCCGTCTTTTCACCCGAGCAGAGACATTCCGAAGAGAAATTGAAATTGCAAACCGGTCAGAGGGAAAGCGGCCGTTTCAAGTTAATTTCATTAATTAAATATCCTTTGTGCTAGGCAGACATACGGCGAGCCCGTCAATTACAGACCCGGTGCAGGGAATTCGACACGCGATACGATTATTTTGCAATCAATTAAACAACGGCGCGGCTAAACGTTGATAAAAGGGATTTAAATTACAACTGGGTATCGATTCACGGAACGCTGCCGGCCAAGAACTCAATTTTTCGCGTATTTCAGCTTCCGCTCTAAAAAGAAGAAGCGTTTAGCGTCGTGTGTGCTTGGGGTCGAGCCGTGCTCGACTGTAATTGCAATTAATCGATCAAAGGGTAGGAATGTTGTACGATGCTAAAGGTTTCAATTTGTAAAAGGATTATCTATTACGTACCACGTACAGATAATTGTGAAGACTATAAGAAACAATTGGATGCACTGATCTTGTATATTCGTTGCACATTCTGCCCTCTTTTTGGAAAATTTCGTAACTTCATATTCAACGTAGAGTACAGATCTTTCTCTCAGAGAATATAGATAATTTCTTTAATTATTCAAAATGGAAGATGAGAAACTTTCACAGTGGCAGAAATTTATCCAAGTATTTTCTATCGTTTGGTGAATCAATACCATCGCTCTCGAAAGGGATACTAAAGGCAAGTTTCTAACAAATACAAGAGGCCCGTTAAGTGCCCTCAAATGGAGGATCCACGGATGATCCGATTATTTATGAAACCGGAGTAAAATCAGGATTCTCGAGATTCCCCGCGGTAGGTATCTCCGTGAATAAAATTCGACACGAAGACGCGCAGTTTGACGGCGTCGTGACGGTCGCAAGGACGTCGTCTTAAAGACTGCGAGAATGCGTCGTATAACCTGGCTGTGCCGTGAGCTTTAGT